AAAATAATTTGTAAATTTTGGTAGTGATTCCTTTGATTTTTTTTTCCCCCATACTCATTGTTGAATGTTCATTGTTTGGTTGAAGATTTTAATTATTCCAATAAAAAATTAAACAAAATTGTTCACTGTGTAAGATGAGACACATAATTTGATAGTGAGAACATTGCCACCTTTTTGGCAAACAGATCATCAAAGGAAGAGCCTCCCCTGCAGGCCCCTGATCTGTTTAGTTTGGTTAACAGGAAAGATTAAAGATATTCTTTTTGCCCTTTTAACCTCTCAGGTGGCCTCTTTCAGTAACTGTCCTTTTGTGTAAATAAAGAGAAAAACTGCAGCCTTTGCAGTAAATACTTACCTGGAGCAGTGTCACCAGCAAGGCGGGGAAACTTTTGGAGACCCTCTGAAAACCTGACAGACGTTTGTTTTGGATTTGTGTGTTTTCTGAGTGATGATGTTCTCTATGTGCTTTTTGCAAATCCTTTTAGCTAAACAGGAGTCCTTCAGTCAGCTGTCAGTAGCTTTGTGACAGGTTTGCTCTCTCAATAATCATTTGCCACACAGCCGTTAGATTTTTATTTCAAATTTGATTATTGCTCTGTATCATTTTCTAAACCCACTGTCCTTTTGTGCAATGTGAACTTCCATTTGTGTAAATGAGGGTGCACAGAGGAGCCCTGAGCCACAATACAGAGAGGATGTTTCACGTTGGGTCTGAATCTGAACTTCGACTGTAGTTGCTTGACCAGCACTGTGTCAGCTGTCAACATCCTTTGAGAACCTCCCTATTGCTGGAGTGTGAACTTTTAGGCTTGTAAAATACTGGAAAATACCCTCCAACTTTTTTTTGGCACTTGCATGCCCAGTATTTGACTCTGATAAAGAGAACCTGCCAGTGTGTGAATGAGGGAGCTCAAACAAATGCCTAAAGGCTTCTGTGTGACCTGCTGTGTTCAAGACATTGACTCATTTTTGAGGCAGTAATTACCTTTGCCTTCTTTAAAGGCACATTAATAAACATGCTAATAAAGTCTGTAATGAAAACTGAGTTTAAACATTTTCATACTCAATTCTTCCATTTGATTTTTTTTTCTCTTTGCTTTCTGTGTAGGGAATTGTGTTGGAATTTTCTATTCATAGCTTTGAGTGATAGTTTCTTGCAAAATTTGTTGTTTGTTAAATTACAGTACAGAATCATGACAAATATAAAATTAATGTCAGTAGATGGACTGGGAAATTACATTTTAATTTATTTTCCTTCCGGATAGTAGCGTAAGGATTTTTAAAAGGCAATAGGATAGTATTATTGTTAGTGGTTTATAAAAACATTTGGTTTATGTTTTAATCTAGTAAAAGCAGCAAAACTTGACTCTGAATGCTTGATGTTACTGATATCTTAAATATGTATGTATGTATGTATGTACCCTGTGAATACTTTTTGCAGCTAAGGAGGTACAGTAGGCCCTGAAGTTTATAGATTTATTGTGCTTTTTGGAGTTAGGTGTTTTTACAGAGTGCGTTTTTTTGGAAAGGATCTCAGGCACTCAAGTTTTTTAGCTTTGGCTGGTAAACAGGAATATCAGTAATGCAAGTTACATGAAGGAATAGCTCTCAAACATGAGAATTAGTCCTCTTCATGAGATGATGCAGTGAAATCAGAGAAGACTCATTTGTGTTTGATATTTTTTTTGTGCTGGAAGAAAAGCACTTACCTTACATGTGGCTTGGTTGTGGCAGAAGCAACACTGGGATGCCAGCGCTGAACGCCGAGCACTTAATCTGAAGAAAGTCCTTGCTCTGTGGAAGCAATTATTAGGACTGCAGTAGGAGGCATCTGGTCATGTAGACATAGCAATTTTATTCATCTAATGTATAACAGTTAATACATTGCAACTCAGTGTGAACTAGAACCCCTTGATGTAGATAAGCCCTTAAGTATTTAAATACCCAGGTCCTTCTCACTGAAATGTCTCAGAGTCCAACTTGGCCTCCACATGGTGACTATTGTAAATGTTCCTCATGAAGCTGCATTACATTTCATCCTAATTAGCACTGCTGCTGCAGCCTTAGTAAAGAAACATTGGATTAAAAAGAACCAGAGGCTGAGCGCCCACATCCTCTCCTGCAGGAATTAAATCAATTTCAGTCTTACAGTATTCACAGAGCTGATTTAATTTGGCCTCTTTCTCTAGATGATTGCAGAAGCATAGTACTAGTAGGAAGCTCTTGCCTTTTTTTACTTATGTTTAACTCCAGAGTTGTGTCTGTTTTCGGTGCTGTCATTTCACATTAGTCCTCAAGTAAAGCAAACACGCTATTTCAGTAGCAAAGAAATTAAAGGTTTGTCAGTAAATAGCAGTTACAGGCAACAAATTAAGATGAGAAATGTTTTTATTGTGGAAATAGGAATGAATGTTTCCTACTGTGAAACTGAATTTTTTATTGAAATTAGATATTTAATTAAGTTATTATTATGCACAGAAAAGGTTAGAAACCTTAACATCTTTTGTCCATAAGCCAAATATTGTAGTATGTTGATATGCATGCTGTGAATTCCCCATCACTGCTCTGCCAGTAATTTCAACCTGGCATCTAGACTAAATTGTCTCCCTAGGAGCCAAGAGGAAACACAGTTGATATGTGATCTCGGGCACGGGTCTTTCTTGAATGAATAAAAGCACTGTCACATTTTATGAAATTACATCTGCTGGTTATGTGCTGTGATGGTCTCTGAATGAGGGAGAGGGCAGAGCTCATCTGAGTTATGGCACAGACCCGTGTTCCAAAGGAGCTTGATGGGATTTTATACACTCTTGTAGCTCCATTTCAGATATGTTTCAGCTGCATGACAGGAACTGAAAGCAAGGTAATGGTTGTGATGTGTCTGCACAGTAATTTTAAAGTATTAAGAAACACGCAGGACACACAAATTGCCAGGCAGTGCTCGCTGAGTGGCCTTGGAGCGGCATGTGTGCGAGTGGAGATGAACTAATGCGACAAGTGTCTGCCATGCACTGCTGGAAATGCAGGTGTCTCCTCTTCTCCAAGCAAAGCTGAGAAGAAAGCCTGGTCCCCTGGCACCAGCTCCATGCCCCCCAACACTCAACTGTGGTGCCAGATTTTGGCAGTGTGTGCTGAGCCTGTCCCATAGTGCAGCAGCCAGTCTTGTAAATCCCTTCAAGGTCACCAGCAGGGCTTAAAGTAGATTCATTTAACGTTGGACTCGATCTTAGAAGTCTTTTCCAACCTTAATGATTCATTATCTTGGATGATGTATCAGCCTGATACCCTTTGCTTTGCTGCAGAACCACCCCAGCCCAAGTCTTCCAGGTGGGTGACTTTGTCACTCATGGGGATCTGAAATTAGTAGTGATGCTACTTCCCTTAGGCACCACGTGGGGTGTTTCCCAAGGAGCCAAGGATTGATGGAGTTTTGAACTGTTTTGACTTAACCAGAGTTGTGGGGCCAGTAAGAGAAGGAGCCTTGAAGGCTCTGTTATTCAGTTCCTGAGGCAAATGAATATCTAAATCCTGTGCTGTTGCTCAAATTCTGCAAAGAATGGAAAACAAAACACTTGTTAGGAGCAATTACCTCTTAACATGTGGAACTTCAACAATGGTGAATTTTAAAATATGTTTCTAAACCGGACAAAATCGTCCTTTATGCCTCTCTTATTGCTGGAGCATCTGTTGCCACCTCAGCCTCAGCTCTGTAACCATGTGGTGGTGTTTGGGTTTTTTTTTCTACTCCCTTCCTCATTTCCTTAAAAGGTTGATTCGTTGTGATTTATTGGGTACAAACTACAAAGCTAAGTATTTTTCAGGATGTAAGTTGTAGTGGTTGTGAGAAGGAATGAGACTATAATTCTCTTCCACTTTATTTTACTTAAGTATTTTCAGAGTGGAGGGTAGGATGTATTCTTTCCATTAGACCTCTCCTTTCTTAATCACCATTCCCTAATTAATTCCCTGGTTAAATATAAAGCAAGCATTAGCTTTGAATAATGTTTTCCTGTGTGATTAAGTAAAGAAGAATTCCTTTCTTTTGTATGATGACTCATTGCTGGGGGATCTGGAGGGAGCCTCAGGGTGGATATTTGAGACTTTGGTCCCAGGTGCTCTCATACCTCTGAGCTGTGTTTGCTGTCAGTCCAGAGGTGGGAGGCAAAGGTGATATCACATATCAGCTGAATACAAAGAAAATTGTCTCTCTTGTGAAACCACAGCTTTAGTTTCTCCTGGTGGAAAACTGACTCTGGCTCACAGAAATGCAAATCTGGAGACAACACATGTACAGCGAGGAAAAATGTAAATTACTGTTCTCGCTGGCACAGGGTCTGTAATATCTCTTGTTGCATGATGCATTTTCTTTGGGGTCCAAGCTGACTCAAAAATGTACCCTTTCTTTTCACCCAGCATCTTCCAGTTCCTCCCCCGCACCAGTTTGCAAGCCTTTGTCTTGTAGCAGTACAGCTGTGTCGGACCGCACCAGAAACCACGTCTGAAAGAACCGAGGTTAAAAATGAAAGGCTCTGGATCAAAAAAGGAGGTTATAGTAAATGAGGGCATGGCAAAGAGGCAGGGCAAGGTTTAAGCTGGCCAAGCTTATTTTACTGCTGAAGAAACATTGTTTAACTCTACCCAGATAATATGACTCTTTTTTTTCTACTGTAGTAGCGTATGGCGTTAATTTTTAGCTCATGGCATTAATTTTTAGCTCAAAAGGCAGTTTTAAGAACAATTCTGGGTTCAAATGTTGCTTATAGCTCAAGGTGAGAAAAAGAGTACAGCTTTATTAACATGGCAGCAAGGAAAACATATGGAATATGTTTCATATAATGACATGAGAATGCTTATGATTTGACTGCCAGAACAGTGAACGCTACAACACGTAATCTCTGGGTGTTGAAAAACAGCCATCTAAAAACACTCTTGGTTTTGATAAAAAATTCAGCAAACAGAAATCCCACTGATTTTTGTTTTCCTTTTCATTTGTTTTACAGGCCTTTCCCTGTATTTCAACCGGAATTTATGGTAAGTAAGACCTTAGATGTTGCTTATTCTTACTTGTTTTTTCCATTATTGCTATTTCAAACAGTGATATTTCATATCAGATGTCTCGTCAGTCATTTTGGCTTGCCAGTCTATTTATCCCGTGTTAAATAACAGAGATCCAAAGCCCTTGGCTGTGACTGGATATTGGTGTGCTGGCAAGTGGGATACTGTTGTGCAGCCCTTAGCAAAACCCTCAGAGCCTGTGAGCCAAGACCTGCAACTGTGATTACACTTCCGCAGTGACTCTTAAACACACTGCTGTGGCTTCAACACGGAAAAATAAGGGTCTTGCAAAATTTTCCATACAGAAGGAGAACAAGCAAGATGCCACAATGTCCAAGACTGGAGGGAGGGAAAAAAAAAAGATGTTTTTCTCAAGCCAACTTGCTGGAATAACATGGAATTGTCTTAGCTCCCTTGAGTTATGCTTCCACGCTTTTATTTTATTAATTTACATGCAAATTAATATTGCCTGAAGGAACTGGAAGGAAAGGGTTATTATAAAAGTTCATCACTTGCGTTGTTGTAATCCTAGAGTAATCCATCACTAATAGTCAACTGGTTTTTGGTTGACATTGTGGAAGAAGTGGGCATGATATTTGTAGGAGGAAGAAGACAAGCAGTTCAATATTTAGGAAAAAAATGGAGAAATTTGAGAGGACATGCAAGTTACGAAGGGGCAAAAATATGTATTTTTTTAATTTAGCAATAACCTAAGTTGCTTTTTCTTTCTTTTAGGTTCAGTAAGTGCATAGAAATGCTTGTAGTTTTAATAACTTATACAATTTAAAGTTTTTAAATAAGGATGCTTTAAAGAAAGATGTGGATGCTCCATCCTTGGAAGTGTTCAAGCCCAGGTTAGATGCATCTGGTCTCGTGGAAGGTGTCCCTGCCCATGGCAGGAGGGTTGGAACAAGATGATCTTTAAGGTCCCTTCCAACTCAAACCATTCTATGGTTTTATGCTAAACAGCAATAAATAAAAGGAATATTTAGGGTTACTTCTTCTTTTTCAAGGACATCTTATTTAAATGTTTCTGAGGATTATAAATCTGAATTAGGATTCAGAAGGTAGAATCTAATTTACTTTAGGTGCCGTATTCTTTTCTACTTGAACTGCACTTTCATTATTGCAGAAGAACATGCAGATGCCATTTCCACTAACACTAGAATTGGCTGAATATGAATCTGGTTTCAGATAAAGCTCTGCCTTGATTCTCCCCTGTTGAACTTTTGAGGGGAGCTCTGCATTTTGGTCCTTGACTCATTGGCTTAAATCTTGATCTTTTACACAGACACATTTTTGTTATTATTTTACAAAAGCAAGCAAGACATGGTGTAAATATATGGAAATTACTAGTAAGTGGGATATCAAATAATAATAGTTCACGTTATTTTAAAATTGGCCTAGTTAACAGAAAAGGTCTCAGCAGGTGAGGAATATGGTTCCCTGAAGCCAGTAAAGGAAGTTGAAAAGGATCTCTGGTAGGAATCATGAGTTAATGTGATTTATTGGAGGCTTTTCTTGAAGGTAGCTGTGGCATTACTGAAACATTATATAGTGTGGCAGATGCTTTTCTTTGGTAATTGTTTGCTGTTTTCACCATTGCAAATAAATTAAGATGCATTTCTGCTAAAATACTGTTTTTCTGAGGCTGCTGCTTTTTTTTGTTTGTTTATGGTTTTTTGGAGGTTTTTTTGTTTGTTTTGGGAATACAATTTCTAATCGATTGTACTGTTTACATTTTAATAAATACTTTCTATTCCTCAATTAGAAACAAAACTTTCCTTCTTTACAGACTCTCAAATGCACTGCCTGAGAGTAAGTAATTAAACAGGCAGCCCTGCATCAGGCTTCAGGTGTCAATATTTTCAAGAATGTTTGATAGCAGTTGCATTGCTAAAATTATGCTCTGTGTGATGTGTTTGCAGTGTGAAGTACACCCAAACCCCAGAAAACTATGCTTTCATCTTTCTGGTTTTTGGGGTTTTCCCCTTTATCCATGCACATTCCTTTAGATAAAGGCAGTGTCTAGACAGGCAAGTGGATCAACCTCATTCCTGGTGGGCAACCTGATTAGGATATCTTTGTGCTGTGCATGTAACACTGGACTCTCCCAGTAAAGTGTTTTTGAAGGAACATACAGTGTTGATTCCTCACCTCAGATCCATATGAACAAATGCTGTCCCTTCAGAATCCCTTGGCTCATAATGGAGTTTCTCCTCCAAATGGAAATGGAGAAATTTGCAAGAGATCAACTGAGCGTATCCAGTTTGAGAATCTGGATTGAGTTCTGCTCCAGACTCTTGTAAATGTTTAGTTTACTCACCTTTACTCTTATCGTAAGGAGAGAGTGGTCACACTTCTCTGGAGAGCCGTCCTTTCCTGTTTGCATCACTGCAGAGCGTTCCTTTACTCCCATAAAAAGGGAACTGGGAAGAAATGAGCAAGCACGGCTCTTTCTGAGGTCCTGGCGAAGGGCAGATTGCTTTTCATGGGAAGGCTGCTGGATAGAGACAAGGTCTGCCTTTCCTCCCCAGACACTCTTCTGATGCTCCGTCTCCACCCGTCGTCCTGGGGATGTTCCAGCTTGAACGAGTTACAGCCCTGAGAAGGCCTTTTGCCATTAAGGCCCCATGCCAGGAGTCAAAACTCAGATTTTAATGTGCTGGCAACAAATTCACTCACAAGAGATCTCTGTTTTAGAAGTCTGATATCTTCAAGTGAGGGGGGCTACATCTTTATAAAATGACATAGAAAGCAACCAGTGCTGAATGTTTGTAAGGACTACAAAACAAGTGAGGGTTTACCCACAGGCACTTTGGGGGAAAATAATTTCCTAAGAAATCCGTAATTCCTAGTATCTTTTCCTAAGAGATCCCTGTCACCTTTAATAAGCTTATAAACTGCTAATCAGTCTAAGAAAGCAAAGGTTGTGAAGACTCATATCCCCATGGGTCCCTGGGTTACTCTCTCCTGTTGCAATAAATGTTTTCATTTACAGCAAGAGTGTGAAGTTTCCTAAATAAAACTGCTTCAGGAGAAGGACTAAAGATTTGCATCCCTCCCATGGCATTAGGAAAGTACTGGAGTATCTAGCTACACATCCTCAGTAGCTGTTTATTAATACGCAAACAGGAGCCAGAGTGCAGTCTTAACCTTATCACACTTTTTTTTTTCCCTAGGCCAGCTAGACTTCTAGGAATTTTCTTACACTTTGTCTCTTTTCTCTTTTTAGAGCAATTTTACTATCTGTTTGAAAAAAAAATTGAAAAAGCGATAAAAAAGATCTGCAGACAAATCTATATATAGTTCAGAGGGTATAAAGTGTTATTTTAGGCTGTAGTGTGTCAGATTTTCATGTTATTCCAGTGGATCACCATTTAGACATCCACTTTCCTCATAATTACCATCTTGTTATGTCTGAGGTACTGCCAGAAGGGAGGGGTGAAAAAAAAGCCAGTTTCTTTAGTAGATTTTATGGAAGAACACCTCATCATCGTGTCTTTAAGAAGGTATCCAGAAATCCTGGTGTTTGCAGCCTGCAAAGTGAACAAGGATGTCTGATATGGTGCTACAAACCTTCTGAGCCACAAAATTAAAACAAGGCTCCACAGATGGATGTGAGGAGGCAGGAATTTTCATGTTTGTCACAATACTCTGTTGAGAGATAATTATGGGATAGGCTACATATGGAAGAATTGAAGATGTTACAGTCTACGCACACCTATTTGTTACCTCCTTACTGTTATTTTACAGTAATAGTTTGGCTTCTGTTCCTAAATACTTATGTTGGCAACATAAGCTGCTCTCTGGCAACAGAAACAAGTATTTATATGTTATTTTAAACTTAAGGGCGGGTGGGGGAGAAAGTGGGGGAAAAAAGATGGAATTCTAAGAGAATTCTCCAGTTGGTGTGTATTTTTGTCTCTACATCAATTTGGCTGTATGTTTTACCTTAGCTTGATTTCATGAAAATTATATCAACTATCCTTTCCGAGAAAAAAAATAATGGCAGATCTTAGTTTTGTCATGAATTTATATTTGCATTTCTTTTAAATAAAACAGAGAGAGAGAAAGAGAAAGACCAAATGCCATGAAAGCGCAGAATGTCTGTGGTGATTTAGGTGGCGGAAACACACGGTTTCACCACCTCTTGAACACCTTTATTACATTGGAGTGAGTCTTGTTTCTTGTAGAATCGGGCCACTTGCAAGGTTTAATTTACTATGTGTTGCTAAAGGGGAGTCTGAAAAGGAAAAAAAAAAAAGTAGGGAGTGTGTATAGAAAATGGAAGCATATATTCTATTCTCAAGGGAGGATGCAGGGAGGTAGCAAAGATCCTCTGCTCTGCTTTGTATCTGGGGGAAGAGGTCCCTCAGTCTTAGTGCTGGCTCGTGTCACCGCTGTCCTGACCCCCAGTGCGTCCTCAGTGCCCAAAGAATGATTCATTCTGCCAGTCCACAGAGAGCTGGGAGCATATCTATCAGCTCTTCTCTCTGTGAGGCGATCCAAGATAGATTATAACAAGGGATTAACCGACAGGTGCACTGCTGAAGGATTATAAAAGCCCTCTGAAAATCTGAGTCAGAAGACTAAACCAAACATTTTCAAAGGCAGAATAAATTCCTGACACGGGGGCTAAAGGTTGAGGCCATCTATTTCCATCTTTCTCATCTGTTTTTTTCTCATTTTTCTGTTGGCGTTTCATTTCTAGGGTAGATATTTCTTCAATGAGCAGTTCTAATAAGGGTTGCACTGTCATCTTTCCAAGGAAGGAGTTAGCTGCAAAATTTTCAGAGCCTCTATACGCAGATATGTAATAAGTAACCATGAAGCAGTCTTGCATTTATCTCCAGCCTGGTGCTTTGAGTCCTTGTAACCATCAAAAAGGCCTGGTGTGCTGTACGTGATCATCAGCATTTGGATATTGTGATGTGAATTAAGGTGACTGAGGAAAATGGATATTATCACATAAA